AGAGAGAGAGAGAGAGAGAGAGAGAGAGAGAGAGAAAGAGAGAGAGAAAGAGAGAGAGGTGAGAGGAGGCAAGGGTCCCATGCACCCCAAGCTGTCTTCAAATTCACAATGTAGCCAAGGATGACAACGGACTTATCTTTCTGCATCCCACCTCCTAAGTACTAGGATTGCAGGACGGCACCACCATGCCTCCTTTAGGGAGTGCTAGGGATCAAACCTAGAGCCTTGTGCACAGTAGGAAGGCCCTCTACCAGCTGAGCTGTATCTCCAGTCCAGTATCCCCTAACAGTGTATCTCACACCAGTACATGCACTCCTCAAAGTACCCTACACATTGGCTTAAGACATGTGTGTTTCAGGGTTGGAGAGATGGCTCAACAGCTAAGAGCACTGGCTACTCTTCCAGAGGACTGGGGTTCAATTCCCAGCACACACATGGCAGCTCACAACTGTCTGTAACTCCAGTTCTGGGGGCTCTGACACCCTTGCACAGATATACATGTAGGCAAAACACCAATGCACATAAAAATAAATAAATCTTTTTTTTTAAGATTTGTGTACTTCACTGTCTGTAAATTGGCAAATATTGAGGTAGTTCTACACACCCTGGGGTTTAGTGATACCTGATATATATGCAAATACATAAAAAAAGATGGAGGACAGAAGGAGAGGAAGACTAAGAGATGGCAGGTACAATGAGGGAAGGATGAGAAAATTGAGTGTAGCTGATGGAAACAGGCATGGTTAGTGTGGTGGACCCATAGGCTAATAGATTTGGTCACCAGGGAGTATCACTATTTGAAAGGATTAGGAGGTGTGGACTTGTTGGAGGTGTGACACATGGGCTTTGAGGGTTCAAAAGCCCACGCCATGCCCAGCATCTCTCTCTCTCAGCTACAGCTACAGCATCTTCCTGCATGCCGCCATGCTCCCCACCATGATGATAATGGACTAAACCCCCAAAACTGTAAGCGAGCCCCCGATTAAATGCTTTCTCTTATAAGAGTCGCCATGATCATGGTGTCTCTTCACAGCAATAGGACACTGTCTAAACAGTTAGTATGGTGGTTTCTTCCTCTCTGTATGCTTGAAACCCTTCTTAATGCTGTTTTGGAAAACACAAAATTGAAAGCAAGCTTTAAGAATCAATACAGAAAAATGGTGAAATAGACACTGGCACAGACTGTTTTAGTCCATCAAGGTTAGGGTTCTAGTACCTTTAGGCATAAGGAGTTATGGAAACCTAATGTCAAGTGGAAGCACCTGTGGAAAAATCTCTGCATGTGTGTGTGCATGTGTGTGCTTGGGCACACATGTGTGTCCCCTGTGTATATCCCGTGTGTGCATGTATGTGTATGTGCACATGCTGGCACACATATATGAATGTTATTTTCCAGCAATAGTGTAGCACACTAAGACATGATTTTCGACACATGGAACACACTGGCCAGGATTCAAACCTTAGTCCTGCCCCATGCCATTTTCTGAAACCCCCAGAGCCTACATGTAGCTCACTTGTCAAATAGAAACCTATACACTGCCCTGGCGTGGTGGGGAAAGTCAGGTAAGCTCTGCTCAAGGAGGCCCTGATGAGCTGTTTCTGCTGAACACACTCCAGAGGAGGAAGAAGGAGTTGATCTTACAAAGAACTGTTCCAGAAGGCACAGGGAGGCCTCATAATAATTTGCATACTTGGGACCAGGGACAAAGACAATTGGCTGATGACAAGTAGAATCTTGCCCCACTAGCAAAACTGTCCTCCTATACAGTGGCTAGTTTGAAGGGGGAGGTCTGAGGCCACTGTCTTCCCTTGGTCCAACACCATCCAGTCCCATTTGCCTAGGACCCGCATTTCTACCCCTGTCCTGACCTGTGTGGTGATGGTGGTGCTGTTTGCTCAGACAGGCTCTCCCTATCTAGTCCTAGCTGGCCTTGAACTCAAACTCACAGCAATTCTCCTGTCTCAGCCTCCCAAGTATTACAGGTGTACACCACAACACCTATTAAGAAAAGTATAGCACAAGTTGGTCTCAAACTCTTGACCCTCCCACCTCATCATCTTAGGCAAATTGCCTACTGACCATGCACCACCACACCTCAACAGACCTACCCCGACTTATACCCATGCACTCTGGCAAAAAAGAAAAAAAAAAAAAGCTCCAATAAGACTTCCTCCCAGAATCCCATTCTGACCCACCAGATTAGGTTAGTTTCCCCAACGGGTGCCTCTTGAAGGCCCGTAGCTTTGTGTTTTTAAAGTCTGCTGTTTATTTAATATGTACCATCAGTTCTCTAGCACCCAGCACAGTGCCTGGAGCATCAATGCTCTAGACAAGTAATGTGCTGTAAATGAATCCCAAGTGTTGAAGAAAGTGATTTCACTCTTGGTGTATTGAAAAAGTAAATTGGAAGAGGGGCATGAATTAGAACAAAGCGTAATGACACACATATGAAAATGCATAATAAAACCCACTGCGTTTTATACTAACTTTCAAAGTTAATAAAAATTAAAATTTGCATATGTAAGAAAGCCTGAAGCCCAATGCATTTCTCTCATGAAAACTGCAATAGAAACTTTTTTCTAATCATTTATGTTCAACTTGTTCCTGCTTATATTCAATAATGTGAATCTAAATTTATACTTTATTATTTAATATACCAATTAATTCAATTCAACATACCTACTATTTTCTGGTTTTGCTAATACAACTTTTCAATGCATAAGTATTTTTAAATAATGTAAGCTAAAATGCAACGAAATGAACTTTACAAGTGGTGTCCACAAAAAAAAAAAAAAGAGAAAGAAAGAAAGAAAAGAAAAGAAAAATACCCAGAAAATAAAGAGGTCAGGGAAGGAGACACAAACCCCACTACATCCACACTTGTCCAGGGAGCACTAGAAAGCTCTGAACTATTGCAGACATGCATAGTGTCTTACACAGCTGGCCTTCTCCCCCGGGGCAGGGAAAGTGAATAGCGGGAGTCTCCAGTCCCAGCCCATCCTGCTGCCAGCCTTAGGCAGAGCCAGTGTTTGCCTTGCAAGCCGACGCCCTGCTGGCAGCTGCTCCCCGCACGGGGATTCCTAAAGGATCTGGGTTCCTATTTTCCAGCCGAAGAAATTGAGGCATCTGTAGTCACGTGACTGGACAGACACTTAGCAACCAGCATGGTCACATTAGCAGTAATCTACACTTGGAAAACGGTACTGCTGGAATGGCTCCTGGGGCCATCTCTGGTCCATCTCCTTTCTCACCATTTTGTTGTCAGGGATTCTGAGTCCTATGATGGACAAGAATTTATTCAAGATCATAACGCTTTGTAAGAGTTCAACTGGACAAGTGGCCATATTGCTAACGCCCAATCTTGTAGATAACTAAACTCAGAAAAGAGCAAGCACTCAGTAGCTGTCACTCAGAGAAGTCGCCTACCCCACAACTAAGATATCCTTTTCCGCAGTCAATGCAAAGGTTGCTCAGGGCAGACCACAGCTGAACTCTTCTAGCATTTCCCAGAACCCTAAAGCCGCCTTGCTCGTGATGATGGTCAAGCCTCAGGAGCAGCCCACATGCAGTGGCTGATAACTGCAAGGGTACCAAGCTCTCTAGGAGCAGCAAGACCAGCCATAGCCAATGCTGAAATGCCATCCATGTCCTTCTGCCTGCCCTGCTGGGTCCTTTACCCTCACGGGTGCTGTACTCACAGCATTCTGCAGGGAACTTCCCACTCTCACGGCGCTGCCTCAGTCTGTTGCCAGGGAAACCTCACCGAAGGAGATACAGCCAGAGACAGAAAGTGGGTAAAAGCCGAGAAGATGGTTCTACCCAGCACCCAGCACTACTTAAGCACCAGGTCAGCACTTGCTGGGACAGATTCCCTAGGGGAAAAAGACACATCCACATAGCCGTTTTCTATAAAGAGGTATTTGAATGTAAGGCTATTGCCTGCTCCAGAGGAGACCACTACTGCTTTTTACCCAAGAGGCAGGTGTCTGTGATAGTTGCTGGGCCACCTAGGAGAGCTATTCCTGAGACTTGACATGGTCACCATGTTATACCCATGCTGTTCAAGGCATTCACAGACTTGAGCTCTGTTGTTTTTCCTTTTACCCTGTGAGGCAGGAATGGATTATCCCTGATCTGCAAAAGAGGAAACTGAGCCACAGCAACGGTGAACCCCTTTTCCAAGATTAGGAAGCCAACTAGCTCCTCTTGGAGCCACAGACATCACACCCCATGTTGGGTGCTGGCCTTCCCCCTTCTGCCTTCCCTCTGAATTCAGAGGTTTTCGTGGGAGCTAATCAAAAGCTCTCAAGAGTTTTGTCCATATCTTCCTGGAGCTGGAAAAGTCAGGCTGCGCTCTTGACTTGCCTCACTCTCCTTTTTTAAAGAAAACCATGTGTGCATTCCCTTTGCCAAAGTTAAAGTGGAACCCAAGTTTCACCGGCTTTCACAGTTGGGCAGAGGGATTAAGCTCGGCTGTCCAGCGCCTGTTTGTGTCTGTTTCCCGAGCACACGCAGGGGGCTGCCATAAGAAATGACATCATCTCATGGGCTGTACCTGCAGGAAGGCAGGGCCTCAAGCTAGGGTGCCCTAGACCCTCAGAGTCTAGACTGGGGAGGTCCCCATCTGTTCCACTGTCCTACGTCACTGCATAGATCTCTCTTAACATTCTGCCTCTGCTGTGGGGACCCTGACAGCTCCATCATTGGACATGGATGGCCCTGCTCCTTACTAGCAACAATCACAGAGGAAACCAGGTGTGTTCGCCCACTTAGAGAGAGACCTGGTGACGGCACTTCACCCCTCTGCCAAGTGCATGGAGGGGGTGAGAGCCCAGCCAGCCCCTACAAGGACAGACAGAATCACAGCACACGTGTGCACACAGTCACACACACATGCTGCGCCAAGTTAGGAAAACTTCTCTCCCACCCCTCTGGGAAGATGTCCAAAAAGATCAGGCCCCTTCAAGTCCCCAGAGACAGACGAAGAGGCTGCACTTACCGGCCTCCCTCCTGGGGAAGATGGTCCTCGGCAAACTCATGAGCAGGGCGGTGAAGACCAGTGACAGGCTCCCACAGACCACACACAGGAGGCACGGGGATCCGCAGCTCCTCAGGGCTGCGAGTCTTTGAATGGGAGTTAAAACTACAAAGTGACTCTCTCCTTAGAACTGTTTTTCCTCGGCAGGGAGGGAGGAAGGGAAAAAAATCCCTTTCCCACTGCCAGAAAATCTTTAACGTTTCACAACGGTCGCTTCCAACTCCGGCCTCCGTATGAAGGGAGTGTGTATTTCACTGGACTGGAGGGAGCCCTCGGATCCTATGCCTCTTCCCGGACCACAGACAGAAATGCAAAAACCTCCGCCTTTCCCGTGGACTTGGAGAACGCTGTGAGAGGGCAGAACCCAGAGAGGTCCTACATATGGAAAATGTGTCCCACTGTTGGGGCCACCAAATCACTCCGGTCTCTGTGCCCGCCCCTGATATTTCCAGAGAGTTCTGCTGTGTTTATGTACTTGCATGGGACAAACAAAACACCCCGAATCCTAGCCCCCACGTTACAGTGATTCATTTTCTCCCTCACACACAAACACAGCGCCTGTTCAATCCAAGTGGGAAACGCCTTTCATAAAGTGTACACAGGGTCTGGGCAGAGTGGCTGGTGGTGAATGCAGCCTGTGTCCCCAGAAGGGCAGAGGGGCTCTGGGGAAGGTGGATGCTGACTTTGATCAACACACACAGAAGGCTCTGGGCTCCTGCCCCATGTCTGGAAACGGAGGGATCAAAGAGCAGGGGTTCCAGGGCACTGTTAAATGTTGTCAGCCTTCTCTGCCCAATTTCCCCCGCTTTGCCTCCTTATACTGGGTAGTATTTTTGGACTTGGACAAGATGTACTGTTATTTTAAGTGACCAATTTGACTGCTGGCTTAAACAAATTCTTGGATTTCTTTACAGCAAAGACAAAAAGGATACATAGTAAGTGGGCAAATGGAACTGAAAGTGGGGAACATAAACCAGACTCTTGGGATCAAAACGGACCAAGTGAGACAGACCCTGGTGCAGTTCTTGAGGTACCTGTCAAGTGACCCGAGTCTTCCTAGAATAGGACCCTGTCGTGGCTGCTCTGAGCCCTTTGAACCCCATCGCTCTACGCAAGGGACGCACCTGCACAATCACAAATATACCTTAGATTAAGGCTTCTTAAACGGTTTTTTTTTTCTCATGACTTCTTTCCACCCAAGAATTTTTTACATGTCCTTGGGTAGATAGGAATTTAAAACAGACATTCAGCCAGGCAGTGGTGGCTCACACTTTTAATCCCAGCACTTGGGAGGCAGAGCCAGGCTGATCTCTTGTGAGTTCAAGGCCAGCCTGGTCTACAGAGTGAGATTCAGGACAGTCACCAAAATTACACAGAGAAACCCTATCTTGAAAAAAAAAGACATTCAAATCAAACATTAATTGACAAATCATAAAGACATTTATTTTAAGACAATTTTTGGTATCTACAATTTTACCATTTATTAAAGTAAAAAGCAATTTTGCATTACCAATGAGAAGAACTGTTTATTTTTATATAAAAGGCTAAATCTTAGGTGAGTATTTGAGGCTGCAAAATGCAGAGTTGGCCAATATTTTGATTTTATGATCATCAGTACTGAGAATACTGCTTAGCATAAATATGTAGCAAAATAGGCTTAGGGTTATTCAGAAACGTCTGAAAATTCTGTCCTCATCCTAAGATAAAATACAAGTAATGAATTTTTAATCAAACTCAAATCAGCAACTTACAGCAATTTTTAATTAATTAATTAATTCATTGAGAATTTCATAGAATGCATTTTGATCATATTCACCTCTCATTCCTACCTCCTCTCGAATTCCCTCTCTCTTCCCCCCTCCCCTCCCTCCCCTCCTCCAATTTTGTGACCTCTTTTCTTTCTCTTTTTACACCCATTGGGTCCAGTTTGTTCTGCCCATATTCTCTTGGATGTTCGAGCATCCACTGAACCAGAGTTGATATACCAGGAGCCACGTCTTTAAAGAACACCGACCGTCTCTCTCTCCCAGCAGCTCTCAGTTGCCGATAGCTCCTTAGCTAGGGATGGACTTGGTGCCACCTCCCCAATCCATGTTGTCATCTGGTCTGGTTGAGCTTGCACAAGTCTTGTGCATGCTGTCACCATTTTTGTGGGTTCATTATGTGCAACTGTCCTGCTGTGTCTGAAAAGTACTCTCTCCTCAGAGTCATACACTGCCTCTGACAGTCTTCCCACCCTCTTTTCACACTGTCTCCTGAGCCTTTGGAGGAGAGTGATACAGATGTCCCGTGTAAGGCTGAATAATCCACAGTTTCACTCTCTTCACCTTGACCAGCGTGTGTCTCACAAACAAACTTTTTTTTTTTAAATCAAACATTCTATCACAATGCAATCCATAGGCTTACAAATTCAATACTTATATGATGGGGCATGGTGGTAGAAAAATATTAAGTCTTTGTTATCTGTAACTAACCCATTACATTTCAAAAAAGAACAGAAAATTTTGGATGTACTGTACAGACCACTGCAATTCATGGCACAATCTTGCATCTGAGGTGAGGCTTTGCAGACAGGTTTATCGGCATTGTGTGGCTGATTTTGTGATGCATAATAATAGTAGATGGCTATAAAGTTGTGAGACTCCATGAGCACAAGCCAGAAGTTCCAGAAAAATCTTAAATTTGGTAAGTGTTTGATTTAAATTAGATTTTGATCATTGTATGTCCAGAAACCTTTTACTCTTGGCAAATTTTCCACAACCCTCACATTCAGTTGTGTGGTCCCATATGGGGTAGAAACCCACAATTGAAGAAGACAAGTCTAGGTCATCATTGTTTCTCAGAGTAAGGCCCCTGTTATCAGCACCTGAGGTCAGACCAACTCCCTGAGAGTCACCCTTGGTGAGGATGGGGACCTAGAAAATCTGGGATCCTGGGCCTGTAGGATGCACCAGGAGAGCCTCATCTGGTCTGCCATTTCCATGGTCCCCAATTGCAGTGGCCCTGGAAACAGGCTAAATAAACAAGGGAGATAGGGTGACACTTACAGTCACAAGAAGAGGTCTGTGAGATGGTGCTAAGTGAACAAGACAGTTTACAAAACTAGGTGTGTTGTTCATCCACCTACACAACACAAAATAAAGTTTGGAGAAGTAAAATGGAGTTGCTTTTTATTTTTATGAATATTCCTTTGTACATTCCATGGCCCATTTCATTAACCCCACAATCCAGGAAGGAGCCATTGTTTTAATCCATGCCAAATAAAGTAATTAAACACACTGTTCATGATTGGGAGGATGATGTTGCTCAATGGTGGAGATCCCACTTCGTTTCCACTCCCATTTCTCATTTCCTGGACTTCTGTGTTCCCCTTTGGCATTTTCAAATCATACATGACACAGACCTCCAAGACGTTGTTCATTGTCCACAAAGTTCTGTGCCCCAAATGACCTGCTATCCTCCAGGCTCTGTCCTCTGTCCCTTGGCCACTCCCCACACATTCTTACAGACAGACCTGCCCACCACATGTCATGATAAGGGACAGCCTACACGACAGAGACCTAAGAGAATTGCAGATAACTCAGAAAAGCCAGGAAAGGAGTTAGGGCCTAATGATAAGCATTAAATCATGTGTTTTCAACTCAAGGATGTTAAGTCCACCTAAAGGTCAATGTTCTTGTTCACATTAGTTATGTTTTTCATTTTCATGACAAAATGTTTACCAAGAAGTAATTCAAGGAAGGAAGGAGTTCTTTTGGCTCACAATCTGAGGGTATAGCATGGAGAAGGAGCATGAGGTGGCTAGTCACACTGTGTCAGCAGTCAAGAAGCAGAAAGACAGACGTCCATGCTCAGTTTACTTTCTCCCTCTTCTTCAGTGCAGGACCCTACCCCAAAGGATGGCGCTGTCCACTTTCAAGGTAGGTCTTCCCACCTCAGCTAAACTGATTGGGAATCTCCCTCACAGACATACCTAGAGATTTGTCTCATAGGTGATCCTATACCTTGTCAAGTTAACAGCCTAGATTAACCAGTACCACTAAATATTGTTCAACAAACCTGTTATTTTTTTAAATGTTCATAGGCTTCGACATTTTTTAACTCAGGGAATGAGAAACAATCTATTATATGAATTGATATTATTTCAAATACTTTTTCATTTTTAAACATTGACGGTAAAGAGAAACGGGTCTTCAAACAGTCTTCAAAGAAGAGCAAATGCACAGATTGCCTCTCTAACCTGGGAGATTTGGTGAGTACAAGTCACAGAGAAACAACCCCCAAATTCTCATAGGTCATCAGTGGTCGTGTTAGGGACCCCAAACTCTGCTCAGCTGTCAGCTAATGCTCGAGTTTCGTAGAACACAAAGATTGGCACGGCACAGATGTTGTTATTAAGCCTCACAGTTTCCCCCATTGGAACTACAGAAACAGATGCTCAGAGAGCTTAGGCAATTTCTCTGGGGCCACAGAACTAAGAAATGACAGAGGTGGGCCCCACCAAGTGTTCGTGCAAAACAAGCCAAAAATGCCAACCTGTTTCTCAACCAAGAACTAAACAGCTGCATCAATGAGAAGTTCCATCACATCAGTCCCCAGGTGAGACAGCAAGGATCTTTGGTCCCCAGACTGATCCCTGGTGACCATCATTTCTGGAGGATCTAAGTCATGTGTCCTGAAGGAACCAGCCTCTTTTCTCAAAGCATGAGACAACAAGGGCTGAAATGGAGCACTGTAAAGTTGTTCTGGTAGGATGAGTAACAGGAACATGACCGCTGTCTTCACCCCTGCCTTAGCAGGCCCTAGGACTCTGTTGAGCACCTGCAAAGACTTTCATTCTATGGTGGCCTTTCAACACAAGCATGGGGATGCTGAGGCATAAAGGGGAAATGACTTTCTTAAAGACAAAGGACCACAGAAGCAATGAGAGTCCTAAAGAGCACTGCCCACTTCCTCTACCCCCGAATCCAGCTCAGAAGAAGTAAATAGCTATCCTGCTCTGTCCATAAACACCAGCAAGATGAGCCAAAGACACTTGTGCCAGGACTGCCTGGTCTGCAGGGATCTGGCAGGAGACTTTTCAACAAACTGCAGAATTGGATCCAACTGACTTAATTGACCTTCCATGTGCTTTATAGCTGTCTCATCTTATATGTTTAACTGTTTTCTGAAGACACAGACATAGTGTGTCATTTAATTCTAGAAGCCTTTCTTGCTTTCTTGCAAGTGTTTTCTATTATGTATGTTTTGCATTGTGTATACATACGTGCACAGACATAAATTCATATTCATCATTACTCATCCGTGGCCAATATACAAAATTCCAAAATACTCTGTGAACTGTGTGTGAATTCCCAAGAGCAAGCATGGGTCACAGTGAGAAATATGCCAAATCACCAGGATGTCAGTTCAATGTGGCAAGGACGTCTTGGCACATGCCCTGGGCCAGACATGATGCTACAGTGTTCCAGCTGGGCATCCATATGCCCACCCAGCTCCAGTGCCCTCTTCCACACTCGTGGATCTGACTCAAGTCAGCTCTTGATAGAACTAGAACTCCACTGAGGGTGTCGAGCAGTGCAAGGCTACTTGCAAGCTAGTCTTTTGTCTTCCCTGCCTCTGTTCCCTCCCCCATGAGCTCTCTCTACTCCTATTCCCGCCTGGCT